TGAAACAGTCGATTGGAAAAATTCATAGACAGTACATTGAAAGAATAATCCATTTTATATTTAGTAATCTTTTTTATTCTACTAAAACTTTTATCTTATTGCTTGTTAGGTTGACATCTATTCGTTTGATTTTTGTTCATTAAGTAAACTCGTGATTGTTTTTGATTTTTGTTCATTAAGTAAACTCGTGATTGTTTTTTATGTACCCAATTATCAACGGTTATTCCCATTTAAATATATATATATATATATATATATATATATATATATATATATATATATATATATATATATATATGTATGTATGTATAGCGAGAGAGAGAGAGTTAGATAGATAGATAGATTTTCCTTGGCTTACATTGATTCTTGGCACAGCCTTCCGAAGTGATGTAATTTTGTCTCTGTCTTGATGCTTTGAAATAGATACAAGGAAAATGGCATCGTATAGAATTCACTTCAAACTTAATTATTGTAGATACATTGTATTAGAAATCAATAGATTGACATAATAAACATCGTTTAATGAATGTCATTTTTTAAAAATAAAAATGACTTTGAATATATATATATATATATATATATATATATATGGAACTCCCTTCCTCTTACTTACTTCCCTGATAACTATAATCTTCAAAAACTTGAATGTAAAGTCAATCGACATCTTCTGATGCGTTTACCTTGATTACCGTCCTTTTCGTTACCTTTTGCTCAAACACACCTCTTTACATTTACTTCCACTCTGTAACCTGGGGTGAAAATGATTAATATATATCTATATAAAGGTCCACTCTCTACAAGTAATCTAATTTTGTTTATTCAGACTTAGTTTTGCTATGAATTGCCTTCCAGCTAATATTATTTACATCTTATATTGATGTTTCATTTTTTAAGTGTATCTACTTGTCCATTTAAGAAACTTGCTGAATCTGAAAATTTAAAAGAATTTATCACTTGAAATTAACTATACGTCCGATAATCCTTCTACCGCTCTCCTCAGCGTCTTTTGAAAAATTAAACATGTCCTATTTGTCTACAATCAAAATGCATTTGTTGCTTACATGTTTACTGTAATTGTCGATGATGACCTAAGTTCTGGTTTATCATATCAAGAAATAATAACTTCCCCCAATCCATCCTCTGAGCTTAATTTTCTATTTACCGTAGATTTTTCATTGGTTGATCAAGACAAACCCACAAGTCTATTTTTTATTCTGTGTTTTCTTATCCCTCCTCCTTTACCTTTCTGAAAAGAGGTAGCATTTTGTTTCTAATTTTTTTTAAAATTATTGAATTACCAGGCAGTTACCTGAAGAGATACAACGTAATAAAGAAACAGGAAAGCTATTGTGTAGCGATTTCAACAGGTTTTTTTATATCTCATAATAAAATAGTAATATATATATATTAACACATTTTTATGTTTATACATTCTTTTTTAGAGATACAAATATTTAAGTAAATGCTCTGTTTATAATAAACAGTATTAATAACATTTACCGGCCTGAATGTCCGAGAAATATTTGTATCTATAAAAAAGAATGTATAAAATAAAAATGTCTTAAAATAATTGTCGGACTTTCTCCATTTCATAAGCTGTGACGTCATTTGTTTACATTTAGATACGCATCGAGCAGTTATGAATGTACGTGAGAAAATCATGTAAAATTGCAGTATAAAAACAGTAAGATCCACCTTGCTAACGGAAACGTTCCTCTGTGACGAAATCGGTAAAAGCACGTCAGTCTATATGACGGTTCCGTATAGGATACAGGTTCGATTCCTGTCGGAGGACGCATATTTTCTATGAAAATTTCTCGGACATTCAGCCCGTAAATGTTGTTTAATACTGTTTATTATAAACAGAGCATTTACTTAAATATTCGTATTTATAATAATGTATAAACATAAAATGTCTTAAAATAATTGTCGGACTTTGTCCATTTCATTATATATATATATATATATATATATGTGTGTGAGTGCGTGTGTGTGTGTGTGTGTGTGTTGAAACTTAACTAATGCATGGGATAATAATGCAACACAAAATGTACTTAGAACAAAATGTATTGAAACAAGAAAGTGTACACAATATTTACATATAGTCTTTTGTATATTCCTGGTAAGACCGTTTCTGGAGAACGTGTTGACTGAGTCGCAGTCGGGCAGAGTCTCTGGTTGAATCTCTTGATTCCTGTATTTATCTATCCACCCACGAGGATAAAATGTGGCACAAGGCCGGTTTAAAGTGGGTATCTCCGATCCCGTAGGCTCGGCCAAAAATATGGCCTTTCTGAATCCGCCTAGACGGGTTCAAGCCTGTCTACCACCCCGGACGAAACCCTGCCTCTCGGCAAAGCCTCGTCCGGGTCCCTCACTGCAAAATTTAGAGAGTTCGACTGAGAGTGAATCTCTTGATTCCTCCCCTCTCTTCCCGGGACCAACCATATTTATATGGTCGGTACTCCACTATGCAAATTAGGTGGATCCTACCACAACAATATATATATATATGTATGTATGTATTAGGTTATCTGGTCTACAATGATTCATGGTATATTGACCGTTCCGAAGTGACGTAATTGTGTTACGGACTGTATTCTTTGACTTTGGATCAACATCGGATAATATTCAGTAATTTAAACATCCCTGCAAATGGTTACCATTTATAAAATTGAAAAATTTGAGCTTCATGACTGGTGAATCAGTTCATCTCGCTATAAAAATGTGAGTCTATTTATCGTATGTTGAACTGCATTTTAATTTTGAAGAATGACTCATTTGTCAGTTGACCAAATCAAGACATTTGGGAAGACAGGTTCACTCTTCACTAAGTTTCGACAGGATCATGTCTGAATGGTAGCCTAATGGACGTAAGGTGCCATTGTCCACTTAACTTCTCATCAAACCCCTGCGTAAATGCATCTTTAGATTGATAAAGGTTCGTACTCGATAATAGCCGTTTATGCTTCCATTGGAAGAAATAGATACATTTAGCGTAAAAAAAAGATTTTGCTTTTGTCAGAAAACGTATTAAATTCTGGTTGATTTATTTAAAATGTGGGTTAATCGCAAAGGCTATTTCTCTTGTTTTCTCCTTACTTCGTCTCCTTGTAAAATGACACTGCCTATCTATCTATCTATCTATCTATCTATCTATCTAACTCTAACTCTCTCTCTCTCTCGTTATATATATATATATATATATATATATATATATATATATAAAGTGAGAAATTATAGAAGGGGTAAAAATTCACAGTTCGTAGCATTTACTTTTTACAAATAGTTCTCCATACAAAGCAGAAAAAATATTACTATAATATTTTGATTATAAGAGATTATAATAAAAACATTTTACATCGCTACACAAATGCTTTCATGTTTCAATACTATGATTGTACTTCCTCGGTCGATGGTAGATAACTTGTGATAAAAAAATGAATTATTAGGTAAATTTAAAAACAGATCGTTACCACTTTTCGGAATTTAAAGGTGGGCATAAGGTCAGAATTAAAGTTTAATTCTGACCTTATGCCCCTCGCTTTAACTTCCGAAAAGTGATACGATATGTTTTAAAATTTTCCTAAAAAATTCCTTTTTTATCACGTTATCTACCAACGTCTGAGAAAGTACTATCATAGTTTGTCTGATGATCGCAAAAGTGTGAAACGCAGTGTCAAAAACTCATATCCATACGACTCATTGTATAGATAGATAGATAGATAGATAGATAGATAGATAGATAGATAGATA